GTCTACATGTCGTTAGTTGCCGTTTTTCTATGGAAGGTCGTCCACAAGATCTGGAAGCACAGCACACCGGTTAGCACGCTGGCCCACATACCGGTCGACGAGAAGACAGAAACGCCCAAACCAGTTTCCACTCCCAAACCCGGGGATCCCCACTATATGGAGTAGAGAAGTCGATGTGTGGAATGCAGCCTATTTGGTAAAAAAAGTATTGTAGTAGGGAATACGAACCATGCGTTTGTTTGTTTTTCGTCCGGGCGTGCGCTCTACTTTCCGTACCACGAATTCCACGAAAAGCAGTAGGAATACGAAAACGGGCCTAGACAAGTCTACGACTCCATTCGTCTTTTGCAACCCCAAGCCCGCGACTGTGCATCTGCAAAAATACTAGGCGAGCTGTCGGAGGGTCTGTCTAGAAAACTACACAATTGGAGTAAGACTAGACTATTTGCTGTCGGCTATGGAAACAGTCCGTGTGGTGCCAGTTATTTTTCATACCTGTCTTGGTATCTGGTCGAATATGGGGTTTGTGGTTGCTGAAAAAATGGGTAGCCCTAGCGAAAATGAGATTCTTATAAAAGGCCTTGATTTTGCCCGACCGACCTCATGCTCACTTAAAAGTTAATATTTCAGAAACTATTCTACCGATTTTCGTCAAATTTTGCCATGCAACTCAATAGTAGTAAAGATAATGATGGTACGGAATTAGGGCCTCCCCAAGGGCTAATTTTTTTAAACTGAGCCCTTGGGGGGACCTGGTCCCGTACCATCAGTATCTATACTACTCAATGAGATGTCCACAAAGTCAGCGAGCCTGTCCACCCCGACCCCATTAGTCTCCTCTGGTTGGCGTAAGTGACATTTCTCCGCCATGTAGAAGGGACATAGCAGAGTGTAACCTGCAGTGTTGATTATACAACAAACAAAGTACCCTACAAAGTAGATTTAGGTTTACTTGTCCTTTATCAACACTTTGACAATGTCTCAGAAGTCCTACCCATATTCAACAGAACAGGTCAGCGATGGAGAAAATGACTGCCTTCTGAAAATAAATGCGTTCTTAGATCTACATACACAGGTGTGTCGCCATACAAATTGTTTGTAACTTCGAATAAAACGGTGAGCTTAATGTTTTTCTTTTCAATATGTCTGTCAATACTATCTTTAATTATTGCAATACATGGTAGGGTTCACACAAAGTTCATATAAAGTTCCTATTAGACGTGATTGGGTTACAAATGGACTCCTTTAGTCTGCTTACTAGTATATGAAATATCAACGCTAGAGCATAATCCCTTTCGATTATGAGCGGATTCCATTGCTCGTTAAAGGCTAAGAGTGAGTGAGTGTGAGTGAGTGAGTGAGTGTGGTTTTACGCCGCTTTTGGCAATATTCCAGCAATCGAACTTGGGTCTTCGGCTTGACGTAAAGACTAAGAAGCGTGAACAAGACGTGTGAACGGATCACTTGAGGTCGGTGATACCACCAGGTGTTTACGAAGTACAGGTGTCCTGCTCTGACTGTGGCCCCCTCACTTAAACAATTTGCATGAAAAGGTAAATCTTTGTTGTCTAGCGAGGACAGCAGTGCCCCTGCCATGTGACGATGGCGTGTAGTCAACCAAACAGTCCATTCCACGACACGTCATTTACCGATTTTGGTGAGACTAAAAACGATATACTAATTTTGATTTAGGTTTCCGCATTATAATAAAAATGATGTGTGTGGTGCTTGACGCAACCATAAGCACATGTGCTTCTGCCATACAATGGCAGCCTGTAAACAATGGTGTCTTAACCAATCAAATGAGGAACCAGATCGAGTGAGTGTGTTTAGTTTTACGCCGCTTTTAGCAATATTCCAGCAATATCACGGCGGGGAACACCAGAAATCGAACCCGGGTCTTCGGCGTGACGAGCGAACGCTTTAACCACAAGGCTACCACACAGCCCCAGGAACCAGACAATCCAGTGACACGCAAAAGTATTTACTGACAATTACAGACACGACACTACTGCACGACATTCTGAAATGTCTATACACATTCTCATTCAATTTTAGACCTAAATTATGAATTCATTGAATTCTAGCTTACTTCGACAGCGACGACCTTACTTCGACAGCGACGAAACACAATTTACAAATTTTCGTGCTACTGTGATATGACTCGGGACCAAACTTATCAATACATTTCTGAATATCACATTCAATTCTTAAAACACTCGTTTCTTCTTCCGTATCACTGATTTAGAGGTAGATGGAAGAGGCAGAGATCATTACGCTGTTTTAAATAAAGAAAATAACATACCAACAAAAACATCGTGCATAAATTCCTGAAAATGAATATATTCGAATACCTATTTTGAATAATTCATGAGTCATGTGACTTCAAGCACTAATTCGAAAACTACAAAGGTTAGCGATAAAATATTCAGAACGGTACATGTATCCGATATCACAAAATGATTTTGCTTCGTATTAATGTACGTTGACCTTGATGGTGTATGGGCACATACACACACGCGCACACGCACGCACGCACACACACACACACACACACACACACACACATACGTTTACTTGTAATGTTGATTCAGACTTTAAACTTTACTTAAACTTTAACATATGATTTGAGCAAACAGTTACAACCGTAACCAAATTTAGGTTCTAAAACACAACCGCGATACCCTCAATACCCTTCTAAATCGAATCGAATACCCAGTATTTGTTAGCTGAATCTACAGCCATCATTAAACATTCGTGCATACGTTCTTTATCATAGTTCTCATTGTTTCTACTCATCATAAGCATATACACTTACAACACGAGTGAGTGAGTCTTGTCAAATATTCAAGCAATATCACGACTGGGGACACCAGAAATAGGCTCCACACATCGTACCCATATTACGAATCGAACCCGTGTCTTTGGCGCAACGATCGAACGCTTTAGCCATAAGGCTACCCCATCTACCCCTTATCACACAGGGCGGTGGAGTAGCCTGGTGGTTAAAGCGTTGGCTCGTCACGCCGAAGACCCGGGTTCGATTCCCCACATGGGCACAATGTGTGAAGCCCATTTCTGGTGTCCCCCGCCGTGATATTGCTGGAATATTGCTAAAAGCGGCGTAAAACTAAACTCAGTCAGTCAGTCAGCCATATCACACAAACATTCATATATAATCAACACAAACATAACATGAGAATGGCGTTTGTAATATTAATGTTCATGGTGTCACACAGATGCGATTGAGTCCCTTACCAGTTGCCAGACCTACGTTAATTAGTGCCAAATATAATCAGCTACAGCATTACTCAGCCCTCTCAACGCAAGCAGTGCCATTTCTGTTCACTGGTGTCATGCTTTGGCCGCTGTCAAAGAATTGTAATGACATTTGCCTACATTGGAACTAATCAATTTAAACCCTAAGTACCTTTCAACTGGACTTTCATCGGGGACTCAACGTGAAGTGAGTGAATATGGGTTTACGCCGCTTTTAACAATATTCCAGCAATATCACGGCGGGGGACATCGGACATGGGCTTCACACATTGTGCCCATGTAGGGAATCGAACCCGGATCTTCGGCGTCACGAGCGAATGCTTTAACCACTAGGCTACCCAACCGCCCCCTTGGTGCTGGAGGAACGCAAGTGTTAAACATCACCCAGTTTGATGATAACCACGAGAACAGTGCTATACAAACTTAGTCTCATAATAAGCGTATTCGAACCCGGATTCGTAGATGCCTGCAGTCACGCGACACAGCATAACTACTGCGCGCCGATCTGCCTGTCCAGGATTTGGCCAGTAGGTCGTGTTCAGGGGACAGTGGCAACGGTGGGAACATGGGCTCGGAAAATATGCCCATGTGGGGATTAACTCCCTTGGCAAATGACTGTTCTACAATACAGGCGAACAAAAGTGACATCTGATCTATATTTAGCATTTTTATTATGTGTTATATGTAAAATACAATCCGCCTGGAAATACGGTATATGTCTTTTTGACCTTCCATGAATTATTTACGAGTAATTGGTTTTCATTCTGTGGAAATTTCTGAATTACCATTCTACGTGCTAGTGAGCTTCAAAGACCAAGAGCAACTGCTTCAGCAGTTTTGTAGCAAGGACTGGATATGAATCTGAATTTTGAGTAGCAGTTTGCTCTGTGCGATGTGTAGTAGAACGCGATTCGACCATGAAGCATCGACCGAACGCTCAATCGCTAGCCTTATGTTTGCCAAGTGCTCTCTATATGCTGATGAGTTAGATTGAAAGTGACCCCCAGTAGAAACATTTCACTGAAATGCAGTCTCATAGATATTTCTTACAACAATTTTGTGATGTACGTACATATATCTTTATATACTGACATAGAGCTCGTTGGTAAAATGAAATCTATACCTAAACACTGAACAGGCGCCTGTGTAAACATCATGTAAACATCATGTAAACACATGACAATACAAGACAATGCAACCGCTGAAACGCTTCAGAGGAATTTAGTCAAAGAAAGTGACAATTCAAGCGTCCGTTCATCAAACAGAAACACGATGGTTGATGGTACCGATTCGTGTACGCTTGCATTAAGTATCACACTGGTATACAACGTCACAACTGGAGTGGACGTTATTGAATATTGGTACATGACACATGTCGTAAATTTTGAACTGGAAGGATTTGTGGTCTCCGTATTGATATTTTGACTTTGATTTCAGCTTGTAATTTCCCGTGACGTATACTGCACGGTTGGGTTGATATATATGGAGCATGTATACAAATAGCTATTTAATGACAGATTGCAATTACAGTTTCATACATATATAGATTATCCGGTCAGGCGTGTCACTTGAAATTGTGTCAACACATAACGTAATTTCGCCTCCATTAGTTAGATGGAGAGAGGACCAAAATACATGAATCCAGATAATGAGAGTTGTTAAAGTACTTGGTTTACTGTCACAATTAATACGCAAATATAATAAATCAAACGCTGACATACCTTGTTTGTTTTGTCATTACTGATAGCCTACGTCAAGCAGAAGGAGGAATTCTGTTCCCACATTGTACATTCCGAGTGTCACCGTCCGTGTTTACGATGTCAATAATGCGCCAGGTGTGGCAAAACTCCACACAGCTCGGATCCTCCAGCCACCACCTACACTGTACCGTGATCAATACGAAAATAAAGTCTCAGCCTTCCCTTTCTCTGGCTTGCCTTGCTGTGCTATACCATAATGTTTGGATCAATGCCGTTAAACTAGAAACTGCCCATTGGCCGTAAGAGGTTGTCTTCTCCGGAGTCCGCGCACTCTGGTTGTTTTCTTCGACATCCGCGCTTGTACGAGCCGCTACTGAAACAATGATTTGATCATATCGACCTTGCTGCATCGGCTGAATGTGTTGAATGTATGTAAATCGCCGATCGTACACATGAGAACTTCAGCTGAATAAAATGCCTGTTACTTTGCTATTATATGTTTAAGTCCCTATCAGTATGTTTAATCAAACCTGATGTAATACAAAAACATATAAACAGTTTTTGTTACAGCGAAATTTGTTTTTTCAATTGATATATCTACAGCTGTTATAAAAAGATTGCGTGGAGTCCACGTGCCCACCCCTTCAATTAGCAACACGTTCATACTGTTGAAAGAGAAAAAATAGCATTAATTCCATGCAGGACGAAATAGCTGATGCACATTTGACTCGTTGCTAGGTAACGTATACAATTGGCAGATGAGATGCATGCAATTTGGACTAGACTTTCCCGTGAGCATATCGTCTTAATACACTTAATAAACAGATTCTTGCATCAAAGGCAACTTACATCTTTCTCTGTGTGATGGAATAACAGTGGTATACTTGGGAGCGACGGGGAGTTATTCCAGAAAATACATGATAAAAGAAAATCTTTTTGGCTTTAAAATTGTACCAGGAAAAATATTCCTCCCTTAAAATATTCCAAAAGTGAAGTGACAGAGGGATAAGCTAGTGGTGAATGCGTTTGCTCTATACTCCGAAGAAGGGGTTCAGTTCCCCTCATGGGTTTAATGTTTGAAGCTCATTTTCCGCTTTCCCAAGCCGAAATATTTTCGGAATATTGCTAAAAGCGGCGTAAAACCATACTCACTCACCCCTTAAGCGTGAAATTAAAGCCGTTTAACCGGCTTGGTTCATTAGTTGGATCCGATGCGTAGAGGACACGATGAAAACATGCCAATCAAAACTCGTCCAATCAATCCACGTTTTGTGGGCAGTTTCCCCCTCAGGGTGTATGTGTATATGAAATTGATTTCCAAGAAATGTACGACCGAACAAACGCACAAACGAACGAATTCTACATGTTGCTCATGACAGTGCGCGTCATTCGGCTCTGGAGACGAAAACCATTCTTTACACCGGTTGACCCCCATTTATACTCATTAACAAGCATGTAATCGACAATATATGCTGATATGTAACCATGAACTACGGAGCTGTGGGTACCAGTTAGCTGATCATCAGAAATGTCCTACTATATCTCACTTCATACTAATTCAAACTGGCGGATAGAAAACAGTAATTGGAGGATGGGAAACACAAGACAAAGAAATACAGTTATGGATGTTATGTTTAGATTCACGTTTGCAGTGTTCTGGCGAATGCTTTCAGTCTAGTATTCTTTGAATAGCGTTAGTAATGTTTTGGTCAAATCCTGTTTACAAATGTATACCAGTACTTTATTTGCCTGCAGTTTAGATTTGTTTGTTGTTGAAATGTCGCACCCAACAATATTCCAGCTATATGGCGGCGGTCAGTAAATAATCAAGCCTGGACCAGACAATCCAGTGATCAACAGCATGAGCATCGATCTACGCAATTGGGATACAATGTCATGTGTCAACCAAGTCAGCGAGCCTGACCACCAGATCCTGTTAGTCGCCTCTAAAGCCTCTTTCTGAAGACCAATTCTATCCAGGATAAAGATCTCGGTTGCAGTCTCGATAGTAGCCATTTTGTCCCTAGGCGTGACCTTTGCCACGTGGTCACCGAATGAAGCTGAAAATCCAGTTTTACACTCTGGCCGCAGTAAGTTAAGCATGATCTATTCAAAGTACCTAATGTCAAAGCCCTATGGCATTTCCTGAACCAGTTTCAGGGCGTACATCCCAGCTTTGAAGCAGTGAATGTACATCAAATGAACAAACATGACTTCAGCAATAAATCGCCCCTACCTTATGCCATGAATGCCGGACCGTTTATCCACATCCCCCTCATTTGACCTCAATGACCAGTCTCGCTGACCAGTCCACATTATGGCCTCGAAGTCCACGTTCATCGAGAGGAGTTGACGAGGTCTAATTGTATAGAAAATGGCCATGTAATTACTGGCCGTTCATTAACTTGTTATAATAGACGAACGTATAACTGCATCAGTAAATGGGACAGATCGGTCGAATACAATTACATTAGTGAGACGTTCACTTGATAAAGGTTGAAGTCAAATACTCGACCATTCGACACTATTACTGAATCGTGAAGGCGTTGTCAGGAATAAATATTTGTTACAAGAATAACAAACCTTGTTTTTGTATTATCTTATATCTCGCAACGTATCATTGACAAAGTATCAAAAGAAATGGATATCAAATTCTTTAATATCTACATGGTGATGAAGGAAAACCAAGTTCTGTGGATAGTCAACTTCTTGCAATGAGTGCGACGATTCGGTGTAGGTACTAACACCGTTATCAAGCAAGTGATGATATAAAATCTTCAGAATAGATTGTTATACCGTTATCAAGCGCATTATCAATCTATTTTGTCATTGCCCAACTTTTAAGGATGCCTTTCAAACAACCTTAAACATGTGCCAACGACCTTGACAGATATTCTGCCGGACACCCTGTGTTGAAACTGGATTCTTTCTGAAAGGAATTTCATTTAATAGAAGTATTCGTTTCAAAGCATTTTTCCATTTCCTGTTGCCGCAAATGTTATAAAACATTGCTCGAAGTAAACACCTTGGAGTCAACTTTGTGTGTAGACTTTTTCAGTGTTTTCGCAACCCCTATAGGTAGTGTACAGTACACAACCCCGTGCACTTAAAAGAACCCACAAATCTGTTGGTAAATGACTAGATGGTGGCTACATGAATACATGCAAACACCTAGTTGCCGATACAGCAACGTGCAGTAACCTTGGACAAAGTACTGTGACTATGTGTCCCACTTCACCCAGCTATGAATGGGTACCCCGTAAAGGATGGGAAAGCCACATTAACTTGGTGCGCCTAGTGGCTGCAAGAGTTGTATGGTCCCCTGGTAGTTGAGATTGGAAATACGATGTGCCGTTGAGAATGACATCCAATGATCGAGGAAAAGAACATTCATGCAGTATGGTCACTAGGGAACAGCGTCAAGGAAAAACGCATATGTTTATGCAATGAAGACACTAGGGAACAGCGTCAAGGATAAACACATATGTTATGCTATATAGTCACTAGCGAACATCGTCAATGATAAACACATATGTTTATGCAATGAAGTCACTAGGAACATCGTCAAGGATAAACACACATGTTTATGCAATACAGTCACTAGGGAACATCGTCAATGATAAACACATATGTTTATGCAATGAAGTCACTAGGGAACATCGTCAAGGATAAACACATATGTTTATGCAATATAGTCACTAGGGAACATCGTCAAGGATAAACACATATGTTTATGCAATGAAGTCACTAGGGAACATCGTCAAGGATAAACACATATGTTTATGCAATATAGTCACTAGGAACATCGTCAATGATAAACCACTAAGGAACATGTTTATGAACATCGTCAAGGATAAACACACATGTTTATGCAATATAGTCACTAGGAACATCGTCAATGATAAACACAGTATGTTTATGCAATATAGGATAAACGCACATATTTATGCAATATAGTCCCACGGGAACATCGTCAATGATAAACACATATGTTTATGCAATATAGTCACTAGGGATCATCATCAAGGATAAACACATATGTTTATGCTATATAGTCCCCGGGAACATCGTCAAGGATAAACACATATGTTTATGATATATAGTCCCTAGGGAACATCGTCAAGGATAAACACATATGTTTGTGCAATATAGTCACTAGGGAACATCGTCAAGGATAAACGCATATGTTTATGCAATACAGTCACTAGGGAAGGTCGTCAAGGATAAACGCATATGTTTATGCAATACAGTCACTAGGGAACATCGTCAAGGATAAACACATCTGTTTATGTGATATAGTCACTTGGAAACAAAAGCATATGTTTATGCAATACACTCACTTGGAAACATCGTCAAGGATAAACGCATATGTTTATGCAATTCAGTCACTAGGGAACATCGTCAAGGATAAACGCATATGTTTATGCAATACAGTCACTAGGGAACATCGTCAAGGATAAACACATATGTTTATGCAATGCAGTCACTAGGGAACATCGTCAAGGACAAACACATATTATGCAATTCAGTCACTAGGGAACATCGTCAACGCATATGTTTATGCAATGCAGTCACTAGGGAACATCGTCAAGGATGCAAAGATATGTTTATGCAATGCAGTCACTAGGGACCATCGTCAAGGATAAACACACATGTTTATGCAATGAAGTCACTAGGGAACATCGCTTTAGCTAAACGCGTATGTGTAAGCAATATGAGATGTACACGTATGATTATAGTATGCCATGCAGCTACTTGGACAGACAGAGGACAGACGCATCTTGTTTATAGTTGTATAAGCTTTTGTTGACGTCCTTGAATAGACGCGTATATTTAAACTAGATCGGCGATCGTTAATGATTTTGACACATTCAAGGAAGGTCGTTCAGTCTTTGTTTACCAGTACGTTTGGTAATCTTATTGATTCTGCTAATGGTACAGTTGTGATTTATTTGATTTCATTCATTATCTGTGTATCAACCAGCGATGGAGTCTACAGTGTCGGGAGCGTCTGTGGATTACTGGCTAGCAGGAAACGGGCATAAATCAGCTCACAGAGGCTAGTACGTGATGTGTCTTACAGTCTATGAAGCAGGTACGAACAAACCCAAACCGTGGACGATTGACCCCCTTCAAAAGGATCTTTCGATCCGTAACCAGGCTCTACGAAATCGGGGCGGTGGGGTAGTGTAGTGGTTAAAGCGTTTGTTCGCCACGCCGAAGACCCGGGT